AATATAAGTTTATCATTTAAGTATCACTTTTTATTTACGTTTCACTGAACGCTAAATTTCCCAAGATTGTAAATGAAATAAATTTTCAGTTTTGCGTTTACATTTTGAAAAAAGTTTTTTGTTTTTTTGGCATTTGATGAAATAATCAAAAGTCAAAACCTATAGTGACGAGTATAGAGGATCAAGCCATGTGCAAGAAGAGTTTATGTATTGGATTCCTCTACCTATTATAGTCTCTTGAATTGTCAAATTTATTCGGTTTATAGCTGTGACAATCTCTACTTGAAATTGTCAAATTTATTCGGTTTATAGCTGTGACAATCTCTACAAAGCTATATTTTGATGAAAACCAATAATACGTGTAGTGATTAATAATCCCCATCATTGCTTAAATTACTTTTGGGTTTCCACATTTCAGTTCCAACCTCAGATCTTCACATTATCACACTTAACAGATAGAGAAAATACCGATTAAACATATTACATTAAAGTGTGAAAGTATTAGTAGTTCGAAAAAGGGTTTTTGCCTTCTCTTAAGAGGATGATTCAACACTCCAAATCATGAAGAAGGAGCAGGACGAGGTAGTCTTTTGCCGATTTCCTATCAGACAAATGTAAATACTCCGACAAGTTAGATCCCATATACTTCATATCAATCCTTCTTTCTACATCCTAAAACTATTATTCTTCACTAAGAGCATGAGGACTAATAGCTGTATCACCACGTTCTATAGTTCCAACATGAAGCAGAGCTCAATATATGTAGATGACAACACAATCGATCATAATCCAGAGGAGGTAAAGAAATGCACACCTCAAACAGTTGGTTTATGTTATCTGCTGTCTTGGCTGATGTCTCAATAAAGAACATGCCATTCTTCTCCGCAAGCTCCATTCCATCCTGTTAAAAAGTTGAAATTTGGTAAGCCCGCTGAAGAAGCAAGGATGGTGCAAGTGACAAAAAATGTTTATGGAATCTGGTTAAAGTGGATTATGAAAATTCACCTCAGTTTGTACTTCTCTTTTCTCATGTAAATCAGCTTTGTTACCGACCAAAGCCATAACAATATCTGGGCTTCCATGCTTTTGTAGTTCCTGTTAGATTTAAAGGCAGGGGTATATTGAATCCAATGTTAATATCTTTCCTACACGGAATTGTTACATATGGTTACAAGAATGTCAGAGAAGCCAGCAAGTTCCTCAACAATCTTATTCCGGTATCCTAGTGTTTTATATGTTTTGAGTTAGAAAACTGGGTTATGTTCCACAGGAGTTGGACTACTTTGTTTCCTCTGATGACTTTGCTAATACAGTCGAGTGACTTGCCATCCATTGTGACGGCCACTTTATTGGATCAAATATCATTCATCAGCAAGTAATTTATGCCAAAGTTAATTACTACAATATAATTCCCCAAGTTGGAAGGTGAGAGATGACATTTCGGAAACTAGCAAAATATCATGGAGTTTTGGTTCCTTTTGAACTATAAACAGTAAGGTACAATCTAAACTGGTAGAGTTGTTCTACTCTTCTATGGTGACATAGGACTTTCTACAGTTCAATGTTTCAGTTTTATGCTCTGATTATGGTTATATAAGATCTTGTGAAAGTCAATTTATAGTCATAAGAAACATACAGCTCGGATGCCATTGCATGAATCCCAAAAACATTTAGGAAATGGAACCCTTCGAGCCACTTGAAAACATACCTTAACCCAATACTGTGCTTTCTTGAAGGATTCAGGGCTTGTTATATCATACACAATAACAGCAACTCCAGCTCCGCGGTAGTATAGTGGTGCAAGAGCAGAATACCTAGCATATCAAGTGAATACAGGTTAAGCTCTAGTGAGCATGCAACTGCTATTTAATAAACTAAGCAACACAAATCTGCATGAAGGGTTTAACACCTCTCCTGCCCTGCTGTATCCCATATTTCAAACTTCACAGTGGTAGAGTCTTGCAAGGCTATTGTTTGGGACAAGAATGAGGCCCCAACAGTTACCTGATACATATTTAATAATTTTGGGATTCAAAATAGTCGATAAAAATAGTCATTCATTTGCCACACATCAGAGCACGGTGTTCTAAAAAAGTGTCGGATGGGCTAATAGAGACGATTAGATAGCAAGGTTCCTTTTACTTACCTTAGATGTTGCATCAAACTGACCACGGACAAATCGAAGTACAATACAGCTTTTACCTACACCAGAATCTCCTAATAGAACTAACTGCATTCAAGTAAATCCAAAAGTTTAGCGTATTATCTTGCTCAAAGTTGAGATCAACTATACTACACAGCTGAAATAATGTTGAGCAACAAAAAGAGAGGTGAAAGAAAAGGGATCAACTCCTTTCAGTAGCATAAGAGTTTGTAATTAGTTCTAAAATATAAAGCAAAAATGTATCAGTTCTATGTTCTTATACTTAGCAAAACTTCCAGGCTCCACTAGGCTTTTTCACATCTCACAACATGCATAGTCTAAGTTCTATGACCTAAATTACAATCAAATGTAAAGCAAGACCATATAGATCACAAAAGCATGAACTTTCTAAGTTATTAGAGATTCAACATTCTT